CTGCTGAGTGCCATTAAAACACTCCTCCACTGTGCTGACAACCACTCCAGCAGATCTGCTGTAGCTGCTACCTCATGTCTTCCAAGATACATGTGCAATAATTACAACGAATACAGGTGTGTGTGGTTAATCTGGAGTAAATATGACATGTTATACACGTCCAAGGACGCTAACTCATCACTCATTATCCTGACCAGGGCTCTCTTTCTGGGCTTATAGTGAAAGTGAAAGTGATTTATTTGTCATTGTGTCACAGCACACCACAATGAAACACAATGAAATGTGACCTCTGGTTTTAACATACCACCAAAGTGAGCAGGGGGCAGGGGGGGGAGTGTGTGTGGGGACGGTGCCATGCTCAAAGGACCTCAATGGCAACATGATCAAAAGTAGAAGAGTGAGAAATGGACACGAGTCCAGTAGAGAACACAATGGTTGTCTCAATATTAATTGGTTGATAAAATATTATCTTTTTACATTATTACATTATATATATACACTGTGTGAATCCTTAAGATTTGGGAAATGTATTGTGTCTAGGTGAAGTGCTCACAAACCCAAAACCTTGTGTCCATGCATGTGTGTGTGTGCACAAAAGGAAGTAATGATGTCATGATTGATGTGATTCACTAATGGGCCCAGAGGGGTTATCAAATAAGCCCATCCCTGCCTACCTTAATGGATTAGTGGCCACTTTGTGTGTGAGTGCATGTGTGTGTGTGCAAGTGTATGTGCTCTGCACATAGACTTTCTCCTGTCTTCGTATTCTTGGCATTTTATATTTGTAGTCGGATCTCAACAGCACTGTTTTTGCTCTTGTTCCATCTGCCACCTGTCAGCTACTGTTTTTTCTGCCATCCACCAGCTGCTTTAAAAAACTCCTCACTTGACAGAAACTATTGAAGCTACTGACCTGGATCCTCGGAAGAAGAACCAACATTAAAGTCATTCTACAGAATCAAACTCATCATAGTGATCAGCCCTGACTCAGCCCCTCTTCTGCTGGTGTTTAACAATGAGACTCATTCTGCTGAACCTAAGATCACAGCCGGAACTACAAGAGGTCATTGTGAAAGTCAGCAGCAGTGTCTCTGTGCAGACACTGGTAACACATATGGGCGTTTGCCAGCTTATATTGACTGGAGGCTTCTTGATCATGTCTGCTGAGTGGGTTTTCACAGGCGGGGCTGAACACAGTCGAGACACTGCAGGCTGGAGCCTGTCTGCATGTACCAACACCAGCCTGAGACCGACAGGAAACATACCCAAAACGGCAGTTTGTTTCAAAGCTAATACTGCAGAGAAACAGACACAAATAAAACGTTTGTGACAGACTGGACGCCTGTTAACACAGGGATGGCAGTAGATTTGGACCAGAATATGTCACAATCACAGCTCTTTCATTCAGTAAGACAAAACCAAAGATGAATCAGTGTTGGCCAGTCACCTCGTCAGGGGTCATCACAGTCAAAGCTTTGACTGGAGACTAAACAGAGACTGAATTCTAACGCTGTGAAATGAAGCCTTTTAAAGCTGCCAGGTGTCCCCACACACTACACTACAACTAATCACAATCTGTATGTGCAATAATCTGAATCTGCATATCCATACCTAACTCTGCTATTACATACATACATGCATACATACATACATATTTTTTGTGTGTCTGTGTTTATGTATATATTGTATATTTACATAGTTTATTTCATATATTATTATATCTGTTTACATATTAAACTGTTATTTAAACTATCCATACTGTCAATATTCAAAATAAATACGACATATGATTACATTACACTTATGTAAATGTAATATATATATTTTCAAATATTAGGAAATGTATAACTTGAAAAAAAGGATAGATTAAACTGTTATATGAACAAGTGAAAGGCAGATAATTAGTTCTGCTCCAAGGTTCCCACATTTCTTGTCTGAAACTCCATAAAGAGAAGCCCACCTTGGCAGAAATGCTGTGCTCCTTCGACAGTTCTTTTGACGATTTAGGTTTTTAAAAAAATACTGTTTGTGCTATGAAGTTTCCAACCAACTAAGATGTCTGCAAACTTCAATCTGACGATTCTTGTGCTCCTCAATAGTCTCACTTTGTAACCCGGCTCCACTGGGGCTCATTATTCAAATTTCTCAGTCTATAAATAGAACTGCAGATACTTTCTGGTACTGTTCGTGTTACTATTTCCTGCTATGAAAACTCAGGTTAGATTCTTTATAAAGAGAACCAGGGAGCAGCCTCTGAGTGATTGCACCTCATAAAACCTTCTCCTCCATGGTTTGTGATCTTACAGCCCCTTGTGGGGGAGGGGAGTCTGGGAAAAAACTGTTTACATGGTAACAGAAATGCAAAAAGAAATACTACACTGTTGGAACTCCAGAGATGGGCTCCAAAGGATGTGGACTTCACATGCCGGGTGTGGGCTGTGGGCAAGATCTTTCATTTTGAAAGACGGGTGAAGCCAACAATTGGACTGCATTAGTGTTGTAGTCACACATCCAAGCCCAAGGATTGAGGTTTGCATTGCACCACTGCGAATGTAACACCAACATGAGACTGTTATGAAGGGGATTGACTGAGCAGACCACGTGGATGTGAGATAAGACGACCACAACTGCCTGCTGAAGAATACAGAAGTCGAGCTGCTTCTGGAAACACAGGAGTGACACACATAATCATCAGCAGTGAGTCAAGTGTGTGTGTGTGTGGGTTGGGTGTGGGTTGACAGATGAAGGGTGTTCCCATCACATGAGGAAAAAAACAAATAATATCTGGTTGAAGTGCATGTGTTCCTGTTTATGTGGGAACAGGAATGCTTCATTTATTTCCTAGTGCCTATTCTTGTTAATGCTAATAGACAAGCTGGAGTCACTCCCAGCTGACAGTGGAAGAAGCCTACACACAGAACATGTGACCAGACCATAATTAGCTATTTCAAGTTTCTTCAGCCTTGAAGGTGGAGCAGATGAAGAGGCTGAGATGTCCACAGTGAGTGACCAAGACAGACAGGGTCATGGTCAGATCTGAGGGACAGTTAAGATGGAATGGTTTGGAGATAAAGTTAGAGAGGTGGGGTGGAGATGATATGGACATGAGGACAGAAAGTGGGGATGTTGCACAAAGGATGCTGGAGAGGGAGCTGCCAGTTAGGAGGGAGAGAGGAAGAGAGCTGAAAATATATTCATGTAGCGATGGAGAACATAGAGACTTGGTGTAACAGTAGTGGAGGCAGGGGGACATTAGCGAAGGCAGGGGACAGACAGTGATGAATGCTGGTGATCGACGACTAAAGGGTGCGGTGGGAAAAAAGAAGAAAAACAATCTCCAATTAACTAAACATGTGATCAGCTTGTGTTGAATCTAAAAGAACCCATTTATCTACAACAGTAATTAGGTCAAATATGGGTGGTGTCATCCAGCACGAATGATGAAATAAGAGTCATAACAGTGAAACTCATCAGGCTTGGGTGTAAATATCTGTCAATTTGTTGCATCTATTTATCTACATATCTAGTTGTCATTCTATCAAAGGCTTAAAGGTAGGGGTGATCAGCCAGCCAATCATTCAGCACCAATTTACTTCATTTTGCGGGATTGGCGATTGGTGAGAGATGGCAATTAACAGACCCACCCACAAGGTTACGTCACATGCCTACACAACAACAAACTTAAACACTATCATACAGCCAAAAACTAATTCTATTTGCAGTGTTTTAGTCAGAAAAATAAACAATTCCTTTTGATCAGAATATGGTTTTTGTCAGTTTGAATTGCTTGTTTGAATCATTATCATGGAAAAGACAAATAATGTTTATATTGCCATTTTGTCACTGGTACCATTTGACAGATCCGTATATGAATGTCAGTGTCACAGCCATAATACCCACTGTACTGACAAATAATTAAAAGAAAAACATCAATATATAAATCTATTATTAAATCCAACATGGTACGGCTATACCATGGCACAAGACTCAGTTTAATTTCAAAACAACATGACACTATACAGTATATAGTAGTAGTGTCATCTGGCCCTCAATTCGCGGGTCTGGTCAGAAAAGTATATTGCACACAAAAATGTGTACAAAAACAGTTTGACGTCTGAATCATCAATATCCTAAATCATCAACATTCTAAATCTAGCTACAGACACCGGTTTGTGAGCATGTCTCCTCCATTTACTTACCATGGAGTGCAAAAACAAAAACAAAAAAAAACCGAAAAGGCTGATTAAAAACACATTTGTACGACTGTAGGTGTGGTTTCCGGTAAAAAAAACAAAACAAAAACAGGCCATGATGATGGTGATGACGATGATGATGGTGTTATTGGTTGTATAGTGTTGGTGGGTGCGGATGAAGCTTCACGGAGACCCATGAGGTCCACACCCATCCATCCGTTTGTGCAGTCATTGTTTCCATCCGTGAGCCCGTTAACAGAAAAATCACTCACTCACTCACTCGTTCACCAACGTGAAATAAGAAGAATAAAAGCTGTTCTTACCATATTTATCGTCCGGTTTTTTCTCGTCCATATCCATTATCACACTGGTCACAGCACAAGTATCATGGGAAAAACACACACACTAGGATCACAGTGGTCAGAACTGCTTCAGCTCCACAACAGCGAGAGAGGAGAGAGAGGAGCGAGAGAGAGAGAGAGAGAGAGAGAAAGGGAACGAGCGAGCGAGTGGAAAACGGCACATTCCTGGATAATGAAGAAGAGAGCCAGCCAATGAGATAGCGCAGCTTGGTGATGACAGCTGTGCGAGCCAATCATACACCTTCTCTGACGTGACCACAGCTTACGTTTCCTGGCCACTACAATGGAATGTGTTATGTGTTTGGGGGAAAACTTTATTCCTAAATATAAATTGTCGTTTTATTAGTCAATTATTATTATTTTTAACTAAATTAACTTATTTTTTAACTTATTGGAGGGATATAACCCGTACTGAAAACATTTTGCGATACTTTTTGTATTACAAACACGATGCAATTACCTTTCAATAAACTAGTTGTATGTGGTGCTTATCAGTCTTTGTAGTCCAATTTCGTTTGGCTAATATTTAGTTTCGAGTCTGGTTTAAAAAACTTATAAAGGAATTGAAAGTGGTATTTTGCAACGTTATGGTGTCTGTTATATCAAAAGATATTACAGATGAACTTTTTAATATGAACTAATAGTGTTAGTGCTTAAAAGTTGCCAGTTGCCGTGGCCTTGATTGGTGTGTTCAACAGGAGAGACAGATGGAAGGTGGATTGATTACATAACTCAGGTGGCTGTGGCTCTGTTTCTCCCTGTGTCATGTGCAGGTTTTCCAGTAAACTGATGAATAATTTATAGTCATAGTGACATGACGATACAGTTACCTTAAAATCACAAACAATTCAATTCTATGTGAAGTAACAACACCTTTTTGTAAGTTCTTTGTTTGTCTTTAAGGTCTATTGGATATCTGTTAGAACATTATTTGGCATTTCCTGCAGAACAAAAATAATTTTACGTTTTTTTCCCTTATTTGATAAATATGCATGAAGGAACCATAAAAAATATTAAAGAGTTAGCAAGAAAATAACTCTTAAATTATTTCTATAACAAATAATTTGACATGTAAACGGAATATAAGGCTGTACACTTTTGTATAATAATGGTTTTGTTTGAAGCGGTATTCAGTGCGAAGTTTCACAGCAGAGGCCATCATGTTGGATCACCATTTTTATGTATATATATATAATTCGTCATTAATAACACAAAAACATGCTAAACTCTGCTATGCTAAATACAGGATAATAGTGGTTCAACATGGTGGTATTTAAATATTTTGGTGTTAAACCATATGTAAATGTAAAACTAAATGTTGCTAAATAAAATACCTTGTACCTTTCATTCACACACACCCCCTCTCCCCCTCCCACAAATTACACTCGAGAACGCCATTTTAGGTGTTGACAAGCTATTATAATATGGAGTTACTTACTGGTTGAAACGTCACCAGCACCGTAGCCCACGTGTTTTCATGTTTGCAACAAATGAATGCATTTCACAACAATATTGAGGGCGAACACAACGAAGATTACATACAGAGTGGTATTTTGCCCCACCTATAATGGCGGAAATCAGCTGCCTGTTTTGTCGTTACGTGTTTAGTGACGTATTACACAGGACTGAGTGTTACTTAAGCAACTTTCACGGAGCATATTGTTGCTGATAAGTTACCTAATCGTGATATAAGCCAACACGGACTGATAACAAGGGTAAAGTTAAATTATATATTTTTCATTTTGTCTAAAAGAAAAAGAATGCGTGCATTAACATACACGAACGCATTACCCGACCGGGAATGCAGTGCCGTTCTTGTGCAATAATGTAGCTGTGATACAGAGTGCTATTTTTATCAGCCACCACCTGATTTTCAATTAAATAACACGTGTTTGTAAGGTAATTTTAAGCATTTAACGCATTTTGACATTTGCAGCCTGCAACTGTTTGTAGCTCGATTACAGACTAACATGATTAATATATTTTAGAATTGATTGACATGTTTTATGTCGTAAAAATATGCAGTGGATTTACTGAAAGTGTTTAATTGTGCCTTGTTTCATTGCGTTTTTTTCTGGTTCTTTAGAACTCAACACGTGACAGTACAGTAACATAACATTAGATGCGCTGCAAAATGCTTATAAATACACCACGGTGTTCCCTTGATTTTTTTTAGATCAAATTACATTTCTTGTTGCATGATTATTTTGGGTAAAATGACTATAGAAGTCAAACTGGTGCTCTGTTTGAGTTTGGTTACGTTGACATACAGCTCTACTTCTCTTTCATATTCAGTGAACACACATGGCTCTCAGAAGTACTGTTGGTCGTCTCCTCTCTGCTGGTCAAAGATGTGCTGTTACAGCATCCAGAGCCCAGAGCACCACTACTGCTGCAGCTCAGATGGGTAATTAATTAAAGATCTTAACATGTATCAATATTTCCATATTCCTTAAAAAAAAAGTTAAGCATTTTAACATGTATCAATATTTCCATATTCCTTTTTTTAAAAAGTTAAGCATTTGTAGTAATTACATATTTTACAAAATGGGGAAGACAGGAAATGTTTCTTATATAAAGTAAAAGATTCCAAAGGAAGTACTAGAAAATAAATTTCTGTAATGATGCCTTGAACTGAGATCATTGCAATATGGAACGGGGATCACTGCTTTATTTGTTTGTTTGTTTTATTATTCATTGTGTTAATTTCTAAAACACCACATTTCAATTTTCGCTCTCAGATGCTGCTGAAGAAGTGAAGAAATCGACCAAAGCATGTTAGTGACGTTTGATTGTTGTTGAAACTGTTGGTCCACATGTTTTCACAGCAGGTGCAGCGTGACGACGACATAACTGCTGTGTGTGTGTGTGTGTGTGTTTTCACCCTTAGCCAAGGTGCACTTCAACTGGCGAGACGCTCTAAACTTAGAGGGTCAGCTGACAGAGGAGGAGGTCATGATCAGAGACTCCTTCCGTGACTACTGCCAGGAAAAACTCATGCCCCGCATTCTGATGGCCAACAGAAATGAACGTGAGCTGAACATGTCTCCCCCCAGACTGAAGGGGATTTCATCCTAGTGATGGATTTTTAACTGAACTGTTAGATACCTGTCAGCATCGACTGAGTTAATTCATGAGTCTATGAGTGTCTGTGAGATGGTTAAGCAGTTTTGGAATGTGCACTGATGCAAAAAGTGACATCTTCATCTGTGGACAGGCTGCTGCAGCCTCTTTCTGGGACAATGGTGGCGTCACTCACTTTGCCTTTGACCAGCTAGTGGGATTTACCTGACTAACGTTGCAAGGTCCTTAAAACAGGACCCGCCATACTGAATGACTGACGCTGAGTATGACCAGTCCTGTTTTAAGGACCTTGCAATGTTAGTAGGAGTAGAGCTGCAGTAACACAGGTTTAATGTTGAATTATTAACAAGGTATATCTTGATCTCATATAACAGAACCATTTAGTGTTGTATTTGTTTGTGTAATGTAACATGTCTCCCAGGTGCATCATTGTTATTTTTTGTTTCTCGTACTTCAGATTTTCATCGTGAGATAGTGTCAGAGATGGGAGAGCTGGGCGTCCTCGGTCCGACTATCAAAGGTAAATTCAAATTTTAAAAAAGTGAGAACTTGTTTTTCTAATTTTTTTGTCATATTATGCTGTAACAGACTTCACTGTTTTTCTTAACGTTGCAGGATACGGCTGTGCTGGGACCAGTTATGTGGCGTATGGTTTGATCGCCAGAGAGGTGGAGAGAGTAGACAGTGGTTACCGTTCTGTGATGAGTGTCCAGTCTTCACTGGTCATGCACCCAATCAATGCTTATGGCACAGAGGCTCAGAAGGAGAAGTTCCTGTCAAGACTCGGTAACTGGGATGTTTTAATTAAATACATTTTTCTTTAAAAAGCAGAGTTTTATTTCTTACCAATATTTCCATACGCAGCTCGTGGAGAAATCTTAGGCTGCTTCGGGCTAACAGAACCCAACCACGGCAGTGATCCTAGCGGCATGGAGACCAAGGCCAAGTTCAACCCATCCAGTGACACTTTCACTATCAGTGGAGCTAAGACCTGGTAAGTTGGACAGACAGTCAACTTGCCATGTTGCCAAAAAGAAAAAAAAAAGATAAATACTGTCATCTTCTGTTACTATGTCAGGATCACAAATTCTCCTGTGGCAGACATCGCAGTGGTTTGGGCCAAGTGTGAAGACAACAGGGTGAGAGGATTCATCCTGGAACGTGGAATGAAGGGTTTGTCTACCCCCAAGATTGAGGGCAAGTTCTCACTCAGGGCGTCAGCCACCGGCATGATCCTAATGGATGAGGTGGAAGTTCCAATGGAAAATCTGCTCCCAAATGTTTCTGGTCTGGCTGTAAGTGGCAGCACAGTTAGAGTGTATCATGACAAATTGACTGTACCTCCATCATATTTGGATTACTGATGTCTGTTTACAGTTTTTATTTCCTCTCTGACCAGGGTCCCTTTGGCTGTCTCAACAACGCCCGCTATGGCATTGCTTGGGGAGCTCTGGGAGCCGCTGAATTCTGCTTCCATGCGGCTCGACAGTACACTCTGGACAGGTGGGTGAAGTTCTTATTCTCTTTGTCTAGAGTCAGTCATCACCATTAAATGATGCGTCACCACATCATGCTGGTGATGTGAAGCAGCTGTTAATAAAGAAGTATCAGAGAGTGTTAATTAACATGAGAGTCATACAAATTAAAGTTAAATTACCAAATAAATTATACGTGAAATAATCTGGAAAAGGTACTAATAATTTCCTAAGTAATAGTTGTCTAATTAATAATAATGTACAAAATAAATTGAATGCCATAAAAGTCTAATCAAGAAGCTTAATTTTACAGACAGAGTTCTAGTACATTTTATAAATCTGTTACTAAATTGGAGTTGCAAATTAGTGTAAAGACTGAATGGCACTTGCCCTCACTGGTGACTGCTGGGTGGCACAGCACTGAAAAGGTGAATACAAAAACGCTGTGACAAATAAAGATTCTTGATTCTTTCTCTCCTCCAATCAGAATCCAATTTGGAGTGCCACTGGCCAGGAACCAGCTGATGCAGAAGAAGATGGCAGACATGCTGACAGAGATCACCATCGGTTTACAGTCTTGTCTGGCTCTGGGCAGACTTATTGATGAAAAGAAGTGAGTTTTGTTCACTATTTGAATTGATTTCAAATTTCTTTTCAGACTCGATTCCTCCTTCTCTTTTAATTGAACTTTGCCCCTAACTGGTGCTTGTTGTTGTTTTGCAGAGCAGCACCTGAGATGATCTCCATGCTGAAGAGGAATAGCTGTGGAAAGGCCTTGGACATTGCCAGACAGGCCAGAGACATGCTGGGAGGAAACGGCATCGCAGATGAGTACCACATAATTCGTCATGTGATGAACCTGGAGGCTGTCAACACATATGAAGGTACTGTAGGCACAAACAGACCTGTTCCTGATATTAAACACTTGACTAAGTACAGCAGGGGTGAACCACAAGTCAATCACCAGATGGCAAAGGTCACGAGCAATTAAAATAATATATATTTGTCTCTCATACAGAATTGATCATAAATTGTGTGATGGTATATGCTATATAATATGTAATTGTAAAGTATATAATGTAATGTCAGTTTTTGAATTTATTATATATTTTGTATAGTAAATTTTGAGTCATTGTTAAAAAAAGACGCTTAACTTAAAAAAATCACATCATGTTCTACCACTAGGTGTCAGCAGAGGGTTAAACATTTACATCGAATTTTCGTGTACATTTTAACTAAAAAAATAATAATAACTTTATATAAACACCAGTTTACTGTAACATTGTGAATTGTACTGATTACTTTTATGTTTTCACCTATTCCTCAGGAACACATGACATCCACGCCTTAATTCTGGGCAGAGCCATCACTGGACTGCAATCTTTCACCGTTGGAAAATAAAAACGTTTAGAAAGGCTTTGTAAAAATGAACTATTGAACCAGGGCTACCTCTTCATTCACCCTCCTTGAAGTGCAGTCTGTCTGGACAACACTGAGGTTCCACTGAGGTGGAAACCTCAGTGGCCAATACCTCATCACATTGACACTATATTTATGTTTCAAACTAATGAAAGAAGCAGATGCTATTGAGCATTGAATTCAGAACTGAAGTCCAACTGAAGAGAGACATGATGTAGAGTTAGTAAATCTGATATAAAGTCAACACAGGGGCCAAGCAGTTGGAGCTTCAGTAGATGATTCAGTTTTGTGAGCTTTTTATCTTAATTGCAAATAAATAATTCCAGACCCTAAGACTACTGTGTGTTGTTATGCTAACTGAAAAGTGAAGCCCATAAGTGTGATAGAGATATGGGTAATAAGGAAGTTGTTGTGAACCCACATTATAGAAGATGATAATCAATCTAAATTTAAATTTTTTCAAAATGTATTAATTTAGTAAGAAGGTGCATTGATGTCAGCTCATTATTTGTACTAAAATACACAAGATGGAAAAAGCCATTTGTTTTTGTTTTCATTCATCCATCTCCTACCACCTAATCCATGTCAAGGTCATGAAGGGAGTTTGAGCCAATCCCAGCAGTCATCTAGTGTGGGTGGGGTTGAACCTTGGACCGTCAGTCCATCACAGGGACAGAGAAAGACAAAAAAACAATTAAATTAACCCAGAAATCTGAAACCTGTGGTTCTACACTCTCTAATCGCTCTACACACATACATTCATCATACACAAGGACAGCATTCAAACGCCATACAGATCACAGCACATCTTTTTGCTTTAAGGTCATACCACTAACCACTAGAACCCCAAGTGACAGCTGTTCTTGTTTTGTATGTTGAAAAACTAAAACTGGCCATATACAGAACATGGAATCAGCTTCTGCTTTATTTAATTTGATGTGTAAGCTGTAACCTGAATTGCAGACACACTTCTTCTTCCACTTAGGAAAATGAAGAAGAAAAAGAAGGAAGAGGAAATAAATATACAAACTCAGTTTAGCATTCCGAGACAGTGAACAATTGCGGATGTACTCAATATAATTAAAGAACAAACAACAACAAAATAACTAACTGAACTGTCTATCCATGAATATCTCTTATTTCTTATGATTTTTTAGATATGTATCTCGTTGGCCGTCAAGGCCCTCTTGGAGCATACACAAAGCCCCAGAAGCTTCCAAAAGCTCATTTTTGAGCTTGGTACAGTTGTCCAGTACATCAGAGATCTCCTGCAGCTTGGCCTGCATCTTACGATTGTTGTCCTCATACACTATAAACATTTGATCCTTCATTTGCTGGTTGGCATCCGACACCTAACAAAACCACAGCTCATCACAAGATTCTACACACAAAGGTATCACACTGAATGTGACCTGGAACATTAAAAAAGTGTTGTACCTTCTTCGTTAAGTTCCTATGAAAGCTTTCCATTAGTTTTTGGTCACTGGTGCGTCTCCTGTTGATGTTTTCAACCAGTTCCTCCATTCTCCTTGTAATGGAGTCCAAAGAGCTGCAGAAAATGCAGAGTACACAGAAAACATCTTTGTCATTTCTAAAATAAAATTCAACATTGCTCTCTGATGTTTAGGTGATTACGTACCTGGTACTGTCGTCTGACCATCCGGAGTCATGATCTGCCTCCTGTTTTGTAACATCATAGGTGAACATGCAGGATTAACTGAAGCATATAATGAACAACTGTGGTTTTACTTAACTTTTATTATCTTAATCTATTTGAACATTTCATATTTTATCTACATAAAATTATGCAGTGATACAATGTCATTAATTCATAGGTGGCTGTTACAGTCTAACATTCTTTATCACTGCAAACATTCTTCTAACTCTTTACATTTTAAGCTCAGTTGTATTATTTGAACATTAGCTGAGCCAAGGAGGCAAAAACTGTTTTAATAATTAAACCAAAAGTCACCAAAAAAGACAATAAAAAAGCCATTTGGCCTTTTCAGTTCACACTTGCAGTTATAATTCGAATCATCTTAATTTATTGTTATTATTATTTTAACTTGCACTTCTACAGAATGATTGTCAAGTTTGTTCATGTCCACATACTATATTTAAACTGTATGTTAAAGTACCAGGAGGTAAATAAAACAAAATAAAACCAATACTTTAGTTACCTGTTGAGAATTTTCACGTCTGTTGTCACAAGACTGGGGATTTGGGTGATTTTCCTCCGTCATTTTGTAATTTTTCTGCTCTCTACTGCTGTTGGTGTGAATTTTTTTAAAAGGAGACCTTTCAGAATGTCTAAGTTTTAACTTGATCATCAAACATTTAACGGCCTATTTGAAGTATACGTAGTATGTTACTTACGTAAAAACGTAGCTGTTTTAACTGGCATAATTGTATTCACGGCTAACATTAGCCACTAGCTTTAGCATTTGACTACATTGTAAAACATTATTGTACACTGACATCTCAAACCACCTTTTATTAAAAAAACACTATAAATTATAATTTTGAATGATTTTACAACACGGCGGGAATTCTCGCTATCTCGTTATATTTCAGTTCATTTGGGCTAGCTGTGTAGCTACAAAGCTAATAGCTAACGTGCTACTTTCGTCCAGTTTAAATTCACTCCGGTGGGTGCATTTTAACAAATAAATAAATAAATCTAACTATAAAGTGTATTTACAATTACCAAAGTAATCACCCAACTGAAATATTAAATCATTAATTTATATTAATGACTAAAAGAAGGAATTGTGGTCACCTGGTTGATGTCCTCTGGAGTTACTGATGTTTTGTTCATGCACATGAATAAAACATATGAACACTTACACACATTTAATCACTCTGCCAGGTTTTTATTTTCCTAAAGGAGTTACCATGAATGATCAAATTTAAATAAATAACCAAACAAACAAAATGACAAACAAACAAAAAACAGCTTGATTTTAGATTTTTCTTCTCCATTTTAAAATAAAAGGATGAGGATGAGGGTTTATTTCATTTGACACTAATGAGCCTAACAGCCTAACAAAGCGTATTTGTTTGTGTGTGTCAATGTGTACACCAACACTTGATAGTTTTTGTTTGGATTATTAAACTATCCACGTAGGATTTTAGGTTGAACAGTAAGAAGGGATTAACGACCATTGCTGTGATTGAAAGTTAATCCTTTTCTGCTCTCTCCGTCACAGCTCAGTGTGGATTACTTCAACCAGGAATGACAAGGCACACGGCACAGGACCAACATTCCCTGATTCCCTGTGATACTGATGGATCTGTTTGTGTTAACAAGACAAAGGTGATGGATTGTGCATTCAAGCTGCAAAGATGAAAGAGAAATCTAATAATCAACGTTAACCTATCAGGTGGGTGAATTCATAATTGGTTCAATGTTTGAAAATTTAATTTTGACTGGACCCTATTAAGACCTTTTGTCTCTGCATTTCAGGAAATATGGTCTTAGAAAGAAAACGCGAGTAGAACAAGGATCCTACGTCGTCAACATGGACAG